ACCTATGAACACAGTATATGCTTCCATTCATTTGTATCTTCTTCAATTTCTTTTTTCAGTGACTTATAATTTTCTGAAAATAGGTCTTTCACTTTCTTGGTTAATTTGATTCCCAGGTATTTTATAGTTTTTGATGCAATTGTAAATGGGATTGTTTTCTTAATTTCTCTTTCTGAAGGCTCATCATTGGTGTATAAAAATGCCACTGACTTCTGAATATTTATATTGTAACCTGTTACTTTACTGAATTCATTGATCAGGTCTAACAGTTTTTTGGTGGAATCTTTAGAGTTCTCTACATATAGTTTCATGTCATCGGCAATTAACGAGAGTTTTACTTCTTCCTTTCCAGTTCAGATGCCTTTTATTTCTCTTTTTTGTCTTATTGCTGTGGCTAAAACTTCCAATACAGTGTTGAAGAGGAGTGGTAAAAGTGGGCATCCTTGTCTTGTTCCTGATCTTAAGGAAAATGCTTTTAGCCTTTCTCTGTTGAGTATGATGTTAGTTGTAGGTTTGTCTTACATGGCCTTTATTATGTTGAAGTATGTTCCTTCTATTCCCACTTTGCTGAGAGTTTTTATCAGAAATGGATGCTGAATTTTGTCACATGCTTTTTCTGTATCTATTGATATGATCATATGGTTTTTATCTTTCGATTTGTTAATGTGATGTATCACATTAAATGATTTGCAGATATTGTACCAACCTTGCATCCCAGGAATAAATCCAACTATCAGCCTATAGTTTTCTTTTTTTTGTAATGTCTTTGGTTTTGGAATCAAGGCAATGGTGGCCTCATAAAAGGAGTTAGGGAGCCTTCACTCTTCTTGAATTTTTTGGAATAGTTTGAGAAGAATAGTTGTTAATTCTTTGAATGTTTGGTGAAATTTGCCTATGAAACCATCTGGTCTAGGACTTTTGTTTTTTGGGAGGTTTTTGATTACTGATTCTATTTCAGTGGTGGTAATCAGTCGGTTCAGATTTTCTGTTTCTTCTTGACTCAGTCTTGGGAGATTGTATGTTTCTATGAATGTGTCCATTTCTTCCAGATTGTCCAATTCGTTGGTATATAATTGCTCGTAGTATTTTCTTATGATCCATTTTATTTCTGTGGAGTCTGTGGTTATTTCTCCTCTTTCATTTCTGATTTTATTTATTTGAGTCCTCTGTCTTTTTTCTTTGATGAATCTGGCTAAGGGTCTATCAATTTTGTTTATCCTTTCAAAGAACCAGCTCTTGATTTCATTGATCTTTTGTATAGTTTTTCTAGACTCTTTATTTCTCCTCTGATCTTCATTATTTCCTTCCTTCTATTCACTTTGGGCTTTGCTTGCTGCTCTTTTTCTAGTTCTTTTAATGGTAGGGTTAGAGTGATTATTTGAGCTTTTTCTTGTTTCTTGAGGTAGGCCTGTATTGCTATGAATTTCCCTCTTAGGACTGCTTTCACTGTGTCCCATAAATTTTGAGTCGTCATGTTTTCATTTTCATTTGTCTCTAGGTATCTTGATTTCTTCCTTGATCTCATTAATAACCCATTCGTTATTTAGTAACGTGTTATTTAGTCTCCATGTGTTTATGTATTTTCCAGTTTTTTTCTTGTAGTTGATATCTAGTTTCATACCATTTTGGTCGGTGAAGATGCTTGATGTGATTTAAATTTTCTTAAATACATTGAGATTTTTTTTTTTTTTTGGCCT